TATATATATATATATATATATATAATATATGCATATATATATAATGAAGGTGTATAATGGAATGCTGTACCAGGGTATTGCCGCAAAGAGCCGAGCAGTCGTTCGGTGTCAAGCCACGCGACATGTATACTGAGACGCTACAGCAACATCGCTGAACTCTGAGGAGATGTCTGCTTTGCTCCGCAGCCATTTGTAGCTAAGTTTAACGCAAAGACCGTTGAATGTCAACACACACACGCGGAAGTGCAACATACGCACTGAGCTCTAGTGCGAGGTTGCTGTCGAGCTATTCCATGCGTATGCAGAGTCACACCATTGCGCTAAACTATAGCTCGTACGATATACATATATATGTATATATTGTTGTCTTATAAGGGTTGCCGTACAGAGAGAGGCGTGCACGGATACAGGCAGCGGTGACCATTGCTAGCATTCGCACTGTGATGTGCTAAGTTCACTGTGCAGTCCATGTCGAGCTACAACAAGCTTTCGGCGATAACCTGTAGCATTTATAAACCCGAGGTCGGCAGAAGGTAGAGAATTGATATCAGTGTGAGTATTAGATTAATAAGAATGCTGAGTTAGAGAATTAGTATCGTATGAGTAGGAAACCAATAAGTATGCTGTGGAATGCTGTGGAATCTGGCACACAAGGGAACATCCATTCGCGAACACCTCAGGAGAGACTTCGTTAGAACAAAAAGGATGCCTGTGGAAGTATCAACTGATCACGAAAGGTGTCACGTCACACACATGACAGCAAACAACAAGACATAGATATCAACAGTCATAGTCATCAACATAAAGGAGATACAGATGCCGTACGATATTAGCTTGTGCATACAAAAACTTACGTTTGTGATCGTCTTGAGCATATCAGGCGATTCGTCCTTGAGTCCCAAATACATTAGCAGCGACCGCTCTTGTTCGTCTGCCCACAATGATGTTTATAATTATTTAGCGATTTCCGTACACAGTACTACACTACACTTGAGATCTCCAGGTTACAGATTGAAAGTAAGCACTCGAGGCTACAGGTGGATTCTAGTATTACACTAGGGTCTATCAGTGTGAATGGTGTAGCTGTACATCGTGCGAATTCATCGTAACCGGATTGATCCTGCAACGAAAAAGACACACACACCGCCTTCGAACATATAACTTGAATGCTATGCTAAGTACTGTAGTTTTAGACACACACTGCCCACCGAACATATAACGTACATGATATGCTAAGTACTGTAGTTTTAGACACACACCGCCCACCGAACATATAACGTACATGATATGCAAAGAACTGTAGTTCTCCAACTGCCTTACCTTCGGTACCAATGAGCCGCAGCACATTCTGGGCCATGACGTTGTACAATGGCACATCGCGCTTGCCCAATAAGATCTTGGTATTGTATGATCTGAGCTTTGATTCGCCCGGACTGATTTGGGCGGTAACCTCCACCTGCAGTGAGCAGAGTGTGATGCGCAAAGCAGGAAGGTGAGATTTCACATGCCTCGCTTTATACTAAATGGCCGTTATGGTAACACGTTGTAGGATGAAGGAAGGCACTTACGGCATCAGACAACCCGAGTGATACTAGACACATGTATGGATGCTATATATTTAAATATATATAGATGTATATATATATGTATATATATATATATATATATATA